GATGGCCCTGCGGAAGGGATGAGGTGGGATGGGCCTGGCCGGTGGCAGCGTGATGCCGTGGGGCCAGCACAACTCACCTCCGTCCAGGGGCTGGGGGCTGTGCTTCCCGAGGACAAGAAGCCCAGGTCCAGGCTGGCAGAGGAATTGAGTGAGCCCTGGGACTCTCGCCACAGCATGGTGCTCCCACCGCCTTCTCCCCTGTCTAGGACAGGGAAGGGATGAGGTGGGATGGGCCTGGCCGGTGGCAGCGTGATGCCGTGGGGCCAGCACAACTCACCTCCGTCCAGGGGCTGGGGGCTGTGCTTCCCGAGGACAAGAAGCCCAGGTCCAGGCTGGCAGAGGAATTGAGTGAGCCCTGGGACTCTCGCCACAGCATGGTGCTCCCACCGCCTTCTCCCCTGTCTAGGACAGACAGAGGGACAGTGGTGGGGGCCATGGACACCCGTGGCCCCTTCTCCCTGCTTGGCACAGCACCTACCTGCCCAGGAGGGCTCCCGCCGCTCTCCCTTCCTGAAGGACCGTCGGGGGCTGCGGTTGGCACCACTGCCTGCCGTCTCCACACCCAGAGGCAGGGACTTGCCCAGCTTCAGCTTTGATTTCTGGGGAGAACAGAGAAGCATCTCAGCATGGGGACATCTGAGGCTGCCCCTTCCCTTTCCCAATCCCCTGTCACCCTGGGGCTGGGTTTACTCTGAGCAGTGACGAAGGGACACAGCGCCATTTTCTCAGGTGAAGACACAGGTCCCTGTCCCCTCCTTCCCACCCTGCTCACCTTGCTGAGGTCGGGCGGGGGGCTGCTGCTGCGGGAGTGGGGCCGCAGGTCAGGCAGGGGCTGCCCCTGGTTCTCTGCCCGCAGGCAGGCCTGGTAGAGCGGAGATTTCACAAAGCGTGTGTAGCTGTCAAACTTCATCAGGTTAAAGATCTGCAAAGGGAGGATGCATGTGCTCAAGACCCCTGCCCACCCACAGCTCGCTCCAACCACTGCCCCGTGGCACAGCCCCATGGGGACAGCAGCAACACTGGGTGATGTGCAGGGTGGTCCCACAGCCCCATCCTGGGGGTGCTGCTCGTACCTGGAGCTGCTGAGTGCGAAACATGTCTGGGGAGGGGGTGGCCAGCATCTCCTCCCCAATCCAGGCCTGCTTGTCGATGTTCACAGGACTGATAGAGTGGCTGGAGAGGAACTCATCATAGATTCGCCGTGCCTCCTGCGCCAGCTGTGCGGGGAGCAGGGGGGTCAGGCCAAGGCCAAGAGCCCCATTCATACTGCTACCCTATGCAGGGAATCCCTGGCTCACCCCATGGAGCCACATGAGGGGCCAAGGGGCCAAGTGCCCCCTTGGGACCAGCTCAATACTTGTGCTTCAGAATGGGTATTGCAGCCAAGCCACCCCACCCAGCACCAAGCTCTGTCATAACACACCACTCTCTCCACAGAGATATAGCCTGAGGTAGGAACTGTCCCCCTGGCTGTGTGGCTCTGACCCCATGATCTCAAATCCAGCTCTCTGCTCTTGGACTCTTTTTTCTCCCCAGCAGCACCCTTCACCCTCTGGCTGCTCCGGGATGGAGAAACACACCCTTCAGATACACATCATATCCGTCTCCTTATTCCTCGTACAAGAGCACTGATCCTGCTCAGCCTCCCACAACAGGGGTCTGCTGGGACATGCAGGCATGACAGCTACCCCTATCCCTGCCCACCTCCCTCCCAGCAGCTCTGTGACCATGGCTGCACGGAGCCCAGTACCTGCTGTGTGTCGCTGGCCGGGATCTGCTGGAAGTGCTCACATGCCTGCCAGAAGTAGACATTTTCAGCGCTGAACTCCTTCTTGAGGAACTCCTGCGGGGCAGAGAGAGCTGCTGGCCTGGCTGGCATGTGGCTGTGGGACAGCTGGTGCCGATGGTGGGCAGGAGCAGGGATCAAGGACTGGGCTGCAGCACTCACAGTGAAGTAGGTGACAGCCACGCGATCCTGCAGTAGCGTCTCAAAGGATTCAGCCCAGCTGACCACAGACCCCGGTACAGAGCTGCAGGAGGCAGAGGGTCCTGGCAGGCTGTTCACACTGTGGTTGCTGCCACGGGCTCTGGAGGCATTTAATTCTGAGAGAGAAAAAGGGTCAGTTCTGGCAGCCTTGGTGTCCTCTGGTGTCACTCCCCTGACACCAGCAGCCTTCTGTATCTGCGGTGCGTTCATCCACCCCATCCCAATCAGAGCCAGCAGCCCTCAGACAGGGAACACAAGGAGCATCACAGTGACATCCTTGGTGGATTGAGGCAGTGATGGCAGAGCTGGCACATTCTGGCATGACAGCCTCCCTGCCCGCGCTGGCCTCCCCTCCCCGGGTGTCACCGTGACTCCACCAGTGACTCACCTCCAAGCAGAACAAAGCAGATGTGTGGCAAAGGCACCCAGCCAGGGAGGGAAAGTGGGGAGGAAGGGGACATGGGATGCATACAGCATGGAGGGAAGCTCAGAAGATGGGTAGAGGTCCCGATTTCCTTCACCATTCCTCCAAGCCATGATGAGGAACAAACCCAGCAAGAGGAGGGCACAGAAAGTTTCACCTCCAGCTCCCAACCCTGAGGAAACCCTCCCCTGGGGAAACCCAAGGTGACCATGCATTCAAATGGAATCCCTCCATCAAAAAGACGAAAGATCCCAGGGGCAACCCCAGCTTTTGAACTGGTTTGGCTGGTGAGCAACTGGCAACAGAGAGTCCTTTGCAAAAGAAGGTGAAGGTATGGAAGCAAGGCTCTCCCAGCAAAGCTGGTGGGAGCAGAGGAGGAGGCAGGCTCTTGCTATGCCAAGCTCCCCACTCTTCCCCTCCTGTCCAAACCAGAGGGTAACTGCACACTGCATATGGGAACATCAGCCACCAGCACCCCGCACTGGAAGGATCCTGCAGTGGGGCTGAGATGGGTGAATTGAATGGGCCATCTGAGGTATCTGATGCACAATGAGACAGATGGACAGACAGACTCCCTCGGGGAACTTGAGACTGGCTGGTACCCAGGTTCTGCTTGCCCCGGGAAGCCCCTCAGCCCCCAGCACCCAAGGGTGCCAGCTGAGCAGCCAGGAGGGAAGGACAAGGCAGAATGGGAGGGATGGGGGTCCCTGTCAGAGGGCTCATCCCAGTACCACGGGGCCTGGCCATATGCTCGCCCATGGCACAGTCTGTGCTGACACAGGACCTGGCTCTCTGCTGGCTCCTTGCCCCTGGCACCAGGCTGGCTGTAGCTTCCCCCTCCCCTGAAGATGGTGCCCTCCAGCAGAGCAAAGAGCAGCCTTACCTCCATCCGACACAGCTGGACCCTGCGGGGCAGAGAGGAGAGGAGAGAAGAGAAGTGAGAGGGGCCATACGGCATCTGCCACCACAGTGGAGCAGTACGCAGGTGAGCAACAGCACCAGGGCAAGCCCAGTCCGAACCCAGGACACAAGCTGCTGGCAAACACTGCTCTGGTGATAGCTGGAACCAGGACGGCTGTCTCATGGCAGAGGCAGGACAGCAGCGAGTAGGGGTAGGGGGTTACAATGGGTGCGCAGCTTTTCTTCCACCTCCTGTGCATCTACTTCCCTGGGGCCAGGCCAGTAGTTGGGAAAGGGCAGACACTATCAGATATAACCCTGCCACCGCTGCCCAGAAAGGAGAGAAGCAGCCTCCCCAGCACAGGAAGAGGAGGGGAGGAGGGGAGGGAAGGAAGGACAACCACAGCCCTAGGCAGGCAAACTGCCTGCTCCCTCCTTCCTTGGGGCCTGGGGCTACTGGAGCGCAGATGCCCCAAACCAGGGACCAGGAGCTGCCAACCCAGGGCTTAAGCAGGACAGGGTTCCCTGCACCCTTTGGGACACCCCAGATACCAGCAGTGGGGATGTGGTAACCCAGAATCCACAGCAAGCAGGGACATGGGCAGATCCTCCACAGTCAAAGCCCAGCCAAGAGACAATGCCTCTCATCGCCCGCCTGTGGCCGTGCTGAAGTGCCCCCACCCTGCCAGCCCCACACACCCGTTTAACCTGCATACCCTGTGCCTGTCCCCATCTCAGCCCCACACACCCCAGCCCCACTAACCCACCCCTTCTTCACCACCCAGTATACTGCTGCCACGCC